TTAGCTCCTAGAAATGGCATGGCAAAAAGTGAGGAGCCTAATAAATAGACCTGAGATGCTCTCTTTCGGTGTGCTGTTATTAGAATTACAGACAACAAATTGGAAATCCAACATTTATCTGCCTCTATGCTGAGTGTGTTGACTGTAGCTGTATTGATTACCTGTTGGAGCAGCTTGGAATAGCTGATATCGTGATACAGTGCAAGGTCTATGTTAAGGGATGGAGCATGTTTTTTTTGGTTTGCCAACAGAGATTTAGCCAATGTGCCCATAATCACTTGCTGCGGGAATTGTCCACAGCCTAGTGGTATGATCTCCTGGTCACTGGGGGAGGTGAGCAAGGCCATCTCACTGAAGGAATCTATATAGAAAGGGAAAAGTCAAGATATCTTTTAGTGTCTTATATGTAGGCTCAGCACTTGAACAGAAGCCAAGCCAAGCTTGCACCTGTTTGCTTGTGTCACCTTGCCTTGTGCTTTACCACAGAAAGGGAGACATTGGACTCTGTCCAAGAGACCTCCATACTCGTTTCCAGTGTGCCTGCGATGGTGGGTGAGGGCCCTGCTGTGGCACAGCACTCAGAGGGCAGAGTTGAAGTTGCATTGCAAACAGCAATGTGTGCAACAGAATTGTGTCTCTTTGCTTGATTTCACCCTCACTCTGCTTCTCTACTTCTTGAAATGAAATGAAGGAAATTTAATTCCCTCTAAGCAAAGTTCTGGGATATCAAATATTTTTCAATTCACACGCACACATACACACCCACAGAAAAATGCAACCTTTTCCATGTCCAGAGCCTGGATCCCCACACTGGATTTGGTTCACTGTGTTGCACACTGCTTCCCTCTTTATGCTCCTGTGTTTGCAGGTACAAGCATGAAACTCCAAAGAGGAGCTGGGGAAGGACTCTGGAGTAGCCTGGAGCCATAACTACACTTAGAAAGGTGGAGAGGACAAATGTGAAGGGAGCACATATGACAAGCAAGAGACCTGAAACAAAGCACTCCAAAGCCCTGTGAGGTATGGATATTGGTTATGAAGTTTGTAAAGCTGAACTGTTCAGCTTCTCTCACTTCTTTTCACTGCTTTCTTTCATCCACCACATTCCTTTTGGCTCTTTTTACTCCCCTACAGTGCTTCAGGTCTTCTCAAATCCCTTCCATTACACCCACACTTTGTACTTCCATACCTTCTGACACCCTCCCCTTCCTCTCCATGCATGCACTGTTTGCAGCTGTCCTCCCTTGTTTCCTCCCACATCCATCTCAGCTTTACCCTTCTCCTTCCCACTTCTCACGTGGAGGTTATTTGACATACCTGTGGGCAACAAGGAGCGGGGCAGTGCTGTGAGGTGTGAGTGTACCAGGTGCAGGATGGCAGGACAGGGAACAAGAGCCAAGGTCCAGCCCCAGGCTGCTCCTGGGGAAGGGAAGCCCTTGGGAAGGAGGTTGAGAGCTCTGGAAATTCAGAGGCTCATTCCTGGTCAAGCAAAAGAGCCACATGAAGGAAAACAGTGTCTGCACAGCTCCAGGTGGCTCTGGCCAGAGACGGGCTTGGTGCCAAGCAGAATTCCCCTCTAACTAACATACTCCGCTTACACAGAGGGAAAAGGAGAGTGCTTCTCGATCACTCTCCTCACAGCCTACCCGGCCTTCATTTTCCACCAGGCCTTTCATCATACTTTTGGCCTAGGGCCTCAGCTCTACTCCCTTGTCTTTGTTTCCTTCTGCCTTCTAGCCTCCCCCTCTAATTGCTTTTGCCTTTCCAGTCCTATACTCTTCTTCCTATGCTCTACTCCAGACCCTTCTCCCTTCTGCATCCAACCAACCCAGCCTGCCCCTGTTCAGTCAACACATGTGCCCCAAAGCTTTCCCTCTGATAAGCACCCCCAGAAAGTAAAAAATTTAGAAACTCTAGAACAGTCTGTGCTAAAGGGATTTTTTTTATCTATGACTTACAGGCATAGATGACCAAATTGCTTTTTTTTCTTTGGCTGCATTCACTTTGCTTGTTCCAGGTAACCTAATCCTGTTTTTTTTAACTGTCTTCTATGTTCCTCCACTTAGTCCTTGCTGATTTTTCATGACTACTTACGTTTCTAAAACAACAGTGGACTGTTTATTTTAGAGAACTCACAAATGTTGTTTTTAAATGAGAGATAGTGAGGTTTGAACAAAAGGAGCTCTTGCAAAACACAAGAAACTTGTACATCACTCTGTTCCCAAAAGCTGTCAAGAGAAGTCACCCTGCATATTGCATGGGTGCAGCTCAGGTCTAGCCAACCCCTCATGTCACCTGAGATCACTTCGTTATTTTACCAGCAAGCTGCCTTGAAACCTTCTTGCTTCAGCACGTCTTACTGCTCATGTGCACCTCACCTCACTTTCTTTGATTTGATAGTTTGCCACAAGCTGATGTGGGGACTCAAGCTCAAAGGTCAGTCACTTTTGCAGCAGAGTGTCATCACCACTGCAGAGCACCAGCAGAAATTAATATCCAAGAACATGCCAGTCTGAGCAGGACCAAAACTTCTTTTTAAAAATTAATAGTAATAATAATAATAGCCATCATCAATAGTGATACAAAGATGGATGACTGTGTGAATGAATGATTCATATAATGGCCGTGCTTTCATTCTTTTCCTATTTGTCCCTCAGAACTAGGAGTGGAGCCTCTGTGCACACCAATGCTAGTCTTGGAGTCATCAGCAGTCTGCAGATACAGTTCCAGCTACAGTACATGTGTAGCCATTACATGAAAAAAAGGGATGTGTGAGATGCCCATCTCAGGCAGGCTGCGCATCTGCAACTTCTTGCTCAAATGACTCCAAATTTGCCCCGAGTGATATTTATCCAGGGCCTCTGGGAGGTTCATTAGTACTGCAAAAATCAGATGGAGCATGAGAATATTGAGGTATGTTGCATACTTCCTTGTTAAGCAGAACATGATGCTCATTCTTCACTATGGTAGAGCAATGCACACTCTCTGGGATGGATCTGAGTGTATACAGTGCTGAAGTATCGTAAGTAATAAATGGTGTACCAAATAGTGCCTAGCTGCAGTGGTGATTAATCATTTAGGCCCTGATCCTGCAAACATGCATGAGTTTAACGTTACTACTATGAGTAATCCCCTTGATTTCAAATTAGATTAGTCACAGTCTTAACACTTGGCACGTGAATAAATGTTTGCAGGGCTAGAGTCCTATTTATGGCCTGATCTTGCAAATTATTACTGTCTAGCACAGTGCCTCTGTTCCTGAATACTTTCACCGATTAAAAAAAAAAAAAAAAGCCTCAAACACTCTCCTGAACTGTGAATGTTGCAGGATTAGATCTGCTGTGTGGTACGTATGCACAGCTCTGCATAGCACAGGTCATGGATAGCTATAGCTGTGTCTGGCCATGGGTGTGTGCTTTGATGCAAAGCACTTGAAAGCTGATCACCATCAATGTTTTTTTACTGTCCTTTACCACTGGTTCTAAGATTTAGGTCTTCCCTCTACAGTGTAAACAGAATTTTCCTCCTATTTCTTTTTAAAGAAAGAAAGAGAGATTAAATCAGTTTTGCTAAGTTAGGGTGAAGAAAATAAGGAAGCAAATAAGCAGCTTGCAAATTTAAGTCACCAGTCTAATCAAATTCCTCTGGGCTGCGGTGTCCTTTCTGTGAAATCAACCTGCATTAAAGCGACTGGGTTGCTGTTTGTGAATGTACCATCTCTGCAAATTACCGCTGCTCTGTTGCATTGTGTTTGTATGAATGGGGGTGACATGTGCTTGCCCACAGGTCCACGTGAGAGAGGTGGGGTGAGGAAGGAAGGATATTTTTAAAATGAATCTAGAGGGAGAAAGTGGACGCTGCAGCTTCATAGAATGTGAATGGTATCCTAAAATAACCCCTGTCATCTGCCCACCCACCCACTGCCAAAATCAAGGTGCAGCTCTTTCATTTAAAATTAATTCTTGGCCCCAGAGGGTATCGATAGATCAATATCTTGTGCTTCTGATCTCTTGCAGGCCACCCTTCAATGGCTCATGCAAAGGCTAAAAACAGAAAGATGCAACACAAAAGATACTGCAGTCAGCTCAAGCAAGGGGGATATTTTTAGATCAGAAAAGGGAAAGGAGGGGAGAGGGAGAGAAAAAGGAAAGAGAGGGAGAGAGGCTGGTCTAGGGTTTGCAATCTAATTTGGTCTCCCTCTTCCCCCCTCCTTTTTTTTTTTCTTTCTCTCTTTTTTTATTCCATCGGTGGTATTTTCCATACAATCTGATTTCTGCCCGCTTGGTTGGGGGGGGGGTGTCGGGCGGGGGGGGGGGTGGGCTGGCACAGCAAAGCGGGCTGAAGATTCTGGAGTTTTATGGCTCATTCCAGCTAGTGGCCTTCTCTCTGCCAGTTGAATTAATTTGATACTATTTTTGAAAGTCAGTGTTTCTAAGGGAGACCTAATGACGCAATGACGTCAATGCAGGTCAATAGCACACACTGGAGGAACTGACTGTGCTACCGGGAGCCAAGGGCTGGGAGCCCGCTCCAACACCCTGGCTCCCGCACATGCTCCCCCGCCGCCTCCCCAGCCATCCCCGCTCCCCCCACGCACCCGTGGGCTTCCCACAACCCCACCTCCCCCCCCCCAAAAAAAAAAATCTGTGATCAGAGAACAGTGCGGTGAAAAAAAGCCCTCCCTCACTACCCTGTGAAAGGCAGCGTTATTGTGGCGGTGCACGCACTAGGAGAAGGGGAGGCAGGCAGGGACACGCGTGTGCCCGGCCCGGCCGGGACCGCGGGCTATAAATAGCGGCGGGGGCGCGGGGCGGCGGGGGCTGAGCGGATTCCGCCCCGCGCACTCGCTCAGGAGGTGCCGGGCTCGGCGGTGGCGGGGGTGGGTGCGTGGGCGGCGGGCGGGGGGGGTGGCGGGGGAGGGGAGGAGGGGGCTGCTGCTTCTCCCTGTCTCCAAGTCAGGCTCTGAACACGAACTGGCTTCTTTTTTTTTTTTTCCCCCTTTTTTTTTTTCCTTTCTCCTAGAAGAGTGCAGGCACACATTACGCGAAACCCACAGCCTTTCGCGATACACAGCTCGAAACGCTCTAGTTTATTTATATAGCCCCTCCACCCTCAGCTCTTCCCACCCGTCCCCAAATTCCCTAGAAATCCAGCTAAGGCGTGGGGAAGAGGGGAAAGCGGTTTTGGAGGGGAGGGAGTTATTTATTTTTGTTTTGTTTGGGGATTGTTTTGTTTTGTTGGGGTTTTTTTCTTTGCATACAAAAATAAGTGAAGAAGATTTTGCAAGGTAGGTTTCTCTGTGTGTGCGCGCGCGTATGTGTGCGTGCGTGCGTGTGTGTGGTGCTTTCCTTTTGCTTTTTGCAAAGTTTTCTGATTTCAGCTGTTAGATGCTTTTACAAGACATAGACTTTTCTGATTTGTTCTGCTACCTGCCTTTGAAAAGACTGGACAGCGTTGCATTCCCCCTCCTTGCAAAGAGTTCTCTAGACTGTCGTGTTTTGTGTCCTGTGCATTTGATGTTCCTGCAGGAAAGCATGTTAGTTTGCGAGCTCAAACTGCAGACAGGGAGCTATGTATTTGAGACCCCCCCACACTTTTTGCAGAGGCTGCAACTTTCACTTTGTCACATTTTGGGGTGGGGGGAGAAGGCAGGCATCAATTCACTCAGGAAACAAGCTTGCAAATGAAATTTTAATTGCAAAAAGAGCAATGTTAAAGCTTAGGGAGGATGAAAGGGAGTTGACATTTCTTGCATAGAGAATTTGCTACCACTGGGAATAGACTGAAAGTCCATAGTGAAGGGGGGGGTAATAGGTAAAATAATAACAAAGCAAATGATAAGGCAAAATACTAATTAAAGTGATGCAGGAAAGTGAGAGGCTGTTACAAGCTCTAACCACCTGTAGAGGGAAATCTTTATACATAGTAATTTCTGATAGCTGATCTATAGAGAAACTAAACAGAATTACATGTTCCAAACTTTGCTGCTCTGCAATGTGTGAACCAAGATGCCAAGATGCTCGGTTAATTCTCGGGGGTTTGCAAACTGCAGATACTGTTAGCTCAGGAGAAATGAGGATTTCTTAGTCTCCACCTTGGCTGCAGCCGTCTGTGGTGCACGTCCTGGTTTCCTTTACTGCTGCTGCACTCAGCGTTGGTTATCAACAGATGTCTTGCCTGAGAAGAGCAGGTTTGATTTATTGCTAATTTCAAGCAGGTTTCTTAATCAAAAAAAGTTGAATGGTCCTCACTGTCTGAGGGGAAGGTTTCCAAAGTAGCTGTGAGGACCAACTACTTCAACCAGTGGAAAGCCTTTTTCCCTTCAGAGAACCCTGCTCAATTTCTGTGTAACTAAAAGTAATAACTAAGACCATGTGACAACTGACACAGTACAGAGCGTGAGTTATGTGCCACACCTTGTGTAGTACCTTTCCTTCTGAGGAATCTCAGGGCACTCAGTGGAGCAGTGGAGCAACCTGACCTCAGAGGGGACAAAACTGGCAACTGCAGGATGACAGCCAACTGCCTCAGAAGGGTGAGGTGGCACTGGAAGTCAGAGACATGGCAGTTGATGCAGAAAATCAAAAGTGATGTGGTTTTGAGGCAGCTTTTCACTTCTCGCTTGCTCATAGAGTATTTTCATCCTCTGCCATGAAAGGCAGATCTGTCTGGAACATGCTGGGGGTTACAAAGTGCTCAGGTCTTAATCATAGAATGGTTTGGGTTGGAAGGGACCTTAAAGACCATCTAGTTCCAACCACCCTGCTATGGGCAGGGACACCATCTACTAGACCAGATTGCTTAAGAACCTATCCAATGTGGCCTTGAACATATCCAACACTTAATTACCCTGCCTACTACACCATTGGTCCATCTCCCTTGCAGAAATATGGAGATCTTGAGTTCATTTGGCCTTGAATCACCTCTACAGCCACCTGTTCAACCCTCATCTGTCATTCGCCTGTCCAACTGAGAAAACATGGAGATCTCCTGTGTTTTATGCTGGTGAATCTTGATGCAGACGTCATTGGGGTCATCTGATTAGTGAGACTGCAGGTGGTGAAACACCATGGGGCAGTGCTACTCACTTGTATCCTCCACAGAACATTACAACAGCTGGAGTCCATCCCTTCAGAGTGCTGTTTTGAGGTTTCTGAGGTTTGTGCTTCATGTCTTTTCTTTTGTCTGCTCCTCACCCCAACACCCAAATTGTTGATCAGATATTGATCAGGATATCTGAATGTTTTGAAATGCCACCGGGTTTAAACAGCTTCAGGAGCTCCTCGCTTGCCACTTCAAGAAAGCAATCTGTGGCAGGATGACTCTTGGTAATGAGTTTTCATTAACTCCTTTCACTTCCCCTTCTCTGGGAGCTTCTGAGGTCCTACACATGGTCTTCTCAGTACAAACTCTCTTTAACCCAGATATTCTCACATCCACTTCACCTATGAGTCACTGCACTTTCTAGCCTACAATTACATTTGCATAGCTTGTGCAATAGAGGGAATTCTCCAGCTCGAACACTGCTCATCTACCTTGTTGCAGCTTTCCAGATGCTGTGTCTTTTCATGTCAGATTTAGAAGGATTCCCTGTGTTGAAAGAGCTAACCACTCCCTCTTTTTCTGGCCTTTCTCTCTACTACCATCTCCTCCTAGTCCAACAATGAACAGGACTGCATCAACACAGAATCTTGCCCTGAAAGTGCTTATCTTGCTTTAGATGCTTGTGCTGAAGGATATTCCCTATTAAGACTCCTCCTGCTTTGTATGTTCTTCTGCTACTCTTGATTTTCTAGTGCTAAGCATCCTGTGATGCAACTTACCTCAAGGAGGCTGCATAAGCTAATTCTGAAGTGGTTTTATTCAAGATGGTGGTAGTTTATGTCACCATACAGCATATTAAATGTCAGGTGGACAGCCATACAGAGGAAAATCCTGTATTTCTTCTCACTGTACTTCTCCAGATTGTCTTGCCAATAATTACATAGTACTACTAGAGACCTAGATACAGTCTTCATCACAGTAAATGGCAATGAAAGTAGCTCTTTCTTATGAAAAACCTTCAGAGAGGCAACCACACACCACCTTATAAACTCCAGGTATAAGAAGTAAAACTCTTTCTTCTACTAAACTATGTATGTAGCATAAGGACTGGACAAAAAGTCAGTGCTGGTGAGGTAGAGCAAAACAGTTTATTGCTTGGACTCACATTTAGTTTATAGGAAAATGAGGAAAAGGCCACAAGTCCACAAACTATCTGGCAGAAGAATTGCTGTCTCTCAATTTCATTGCAGACCTCTCTGAAAGGCACTCCAAAATTCATTGACACCCATGTGCAGTCTCACTGCCAGGTTAGTTCACCTCCACTTTCTCAGTTGAAAAACTAGTATCAAGTCAAGGTGAGTGGCTTCACTCTTTCACATACTCATTGGAGTATTTTTGATATTCCATGGCATTTTTCCCCTCGAAACACCAGGATCTCAAGTAAGATTGAAAGATTGTCTCAGCCCTGACATTTGCAATGCATTCTTGCAAATTCTTCTTGTATAGTAGCTTCAGTTTCTCCTGCTTTTCAACCTTAGGCACGAGCTTCCCATTGACTCCCACTGTGAGTGTGAGGCCATGCACCTTGCTCTTGGTGCTTGTCACTTTACACTCCTCTTTGCACTACCCAAGATCTCCTTCCTATCAATTCGTCACTTGCTGTGATCTTAACAAAAATATCTACATAATATTATTTATATTATAAATAATATAATATTTCTATAAATTATATAATTTATAATATAGCAATACTTCTGCAAAAGATAGCTATTCCAAAATAAAAAACCGTGCTGGGGCACAAGTAATTTTCCTCTGTTTTTCATAGGACTCTCTTCTGTGCCCTTCCATTTGAATTGTAACCTCATGGGGCAGTTACTGATGTTGTTCATTCTCTGGTACAGTACCCACCAGGTCATGCATAGGTAGTAGGTAACAATTACATCGTCTGTCATTATTTTTCTTTTTTCGCCCCCCTAAATAAGGATCCAACTTTATTTTAATGCCCCAACCTATGTTTTCAAGTGTTGGCTCCTGGCTAGAATGTTCCTTTTGGTTACTTTTTGATTCTTTGTTTGCACAGCATCCCATAGGATGGGAGCTTAATCTGAGATTGCCAACACATGATAATGAGGCTCACTTTTGAAAGTTTAACTTGTGACATGTTGCTAATGTAAGGATCAGTCAACTGATACAATATTAACGTAAAAAAAAAAAAACCAAAAAAACACAGATTTCTAAATTTAGCTAAATACTCATTGTCAGTTTTAAACAACAATTCAAGATAGCTTGTATATGCAAACCTTGAACTACCCAGAAAATCATTACATGAAATGTAATTCAGACTTTGTATCTCTGTTCATATAGTCCTGCAATAATTGCAATTACTGCAAAAGCAGCACAAAACAATGATCTGTAAGGGATTTGAAGAAGCATATGGGTTTCATCCCCTGGCTCCATGGCAGGCATTTATAGCAATATGATGATAGCCTGCGTTTCTCTGTTGCTCGTCTGTGGATCTCCAGATATTCTACTAATATTCTGTAAGTTATGTATGGTACTTCTCCATCCAGTTCACATCGTGAGCTGGGTAAGTATTAATACAAATGTCCTGTCATTAAAAGAATGTACATGTAGCCACAACAAGGACCAGGGACACAGCTGCTACCCATCCTCAGCTTTGGAGGGCCCACTGATGAGGGAACAAAATGGAGAAAACCACTATGGTTCCTCTGTACACGTTTCGCCATATATTGGCTGATGGTAGTGGTGTGATCAGATGTATGCACTGCAGCAGTGTTTCTGAGGACTTTCTAAATGGTCTATACTCTTCCAAATACTGAAGTGTGTCCTTCTTCCTGTGAATTTCATGGCATGCCTTGTCTTCTCAGTGACAGCTGTTGGTCCAGTAGCTGTCACAGTTTCCCCTAGGGGAACCAAAGCATGTCTTAACAGTAAAAATTTGTAGATGTTTCCGCTCCTATGCCCAGTCACATGAATTACCTCCTCCCGATTCATGACCAAATAACATCATATACCAATAGTCATTTATTTGGCAAAGTAAAAGAATATGAAGTATCGCATGTTTCTGCAATTCAACATCTGGGAAAGTAAAAGCCATTGGTGCTTGCCCAGCTGGTCCTCCGGGACTTCCACAAGTTTTGTACGCACTGATGGTTTGCCAGTCACAGTAAGGAAACCAGTGGCTTACTTTGTAAACTGTGTGTAGAAAAGACAGCTTGGATC